TGAACTCCAGCTATACTGACAATTTGGAAATAAAGGTAGTTTTCATTTAGTGACTGCTTCATTTAATGACTGAGTTGCCAGTCCCAATTGTGGTCACTAAATGAAAACTACCTTTATTTCCAAATTGTCAGTATAGCTGGAGTTCACTTCTCCTGGAGTTTCTGTTTAGAAATGGAATGTAACATTTCTTGGATATCAAGAAAAAGTCAAGTCCTCTTCAAAAGCTTCATGAAGAAATCTCACTTTGCCCTGGTAAACACATCTCTGTTCCCCCCCCCCCGAAAATGATTAATTACTTGAATCTGGGCTCTGTTTCCAGCTGTAATGTTTGATATTGTCCAACATGCTTCCTTTTTGATTGATTCTTTAGGACTACTTAGCAAGTGTAATAAACTTTGCAGGGCTGCACAGTTCAGTATTACCTAGAAAGAGGGAGAATAGATATTAGACTATACTCAGAAGGTATATTTACCTCAGAGAAATGAGAACGATAATCAACAGAAAGAAGCATAAGGACAACTACCTCAGAAAATATGGTCCTAAGACTTCAGCAGATAATCAAAAAAGAACCTTAAGAAACATTTTCAAAGCGGAGCATGGTAGCAGATGGCTTAACCAGTGAGAAAGGATCTGGGGGATGGCCAGTGGAAACAGTAGGAGTAATGATTACCAAAGGCAGAAAGGTGACAGTAAACCCTCCCTTGAGGTGAGCTCAACTCTTGGCAGAAATATGGTCCATTCCCATGTTCTGGAATGCTTTTTCAACTATAGCCCTGGGATACTCTCACAGTCTCCCAATCTAAGTACAAGCTATGTCCAGCCCTGGGTAGGCTTTTGAGATCAGCCAGGGATGGCTAAGTGCTAACATGCTGTGGCATCAGAAGCAGAAAAGGCAGCATTAAGAATGCACTTTAAGAACAAGATTTATAGGCAACTGTATCACTCAATAGTTCACCTCAGAATTTTTGGAAAGAGAATTCTGTCACTTGCAGAGAAAGGGAGGCAATCATTCCAAGCAAAGTACAGGTAGTCCTCGCTTACTGACCATTCGTTCAGTATTTTTTTTTTCTTGTTCCGCAGCCTAGCCCAGCACAGCAGCCAGGCCAGGCATGCCTCATCAGCAGCAGAAGCAAGAAGACAGCAAGGTCAGCCGGGGCAGCGGAGCGCAGGGCAGCAGGGGGCCAAAAAGGCATAGATGAGGGGAAAGAAATAGGCGGGTGGGACTGGGCTGGGGCAGCTGTGGCTTCCCA